TCCTTATATCGTTTACCCCTCAATTTTTATTATAGGCTACTTTTAATAATTTATTTATACATATACTTACCTTCAGCTAATTTAATAAGCATAAAAAAATTGTTTTTAGAATCATCAGTTGTTTTTATTATATTTTAAGTTGCTTTTGTATATATTTTTTTGTAAACATATTTATATTTTTATACAATTAGTAATGTCACGCTTAMTTTTATGAAAATTAACTACACTTATTAAACAACTACGCTTATATTGAAAAATATAGGTCTATATGTATACTTTTTGATTTCAATATAATATTTCATTATAACTATAAATAAAAAAATCTAAGTAAAGTTTTAACATTTGAAAGGTGCATACATTTAAGTATTTATTTATGTACAAATGCATGTAAATGTAACAATTGGATGAAACGGGTGTAGAACAAATTATTGAGGCACTTTTTGGCATTAATAACAAATTAATTAAACKCTACGAAAATCTTACTTACGATTCGTAATGTGGCATTGGAGATTTAAAATATATGAACTATGTATATTATGCACTATAACGGTAAAATAAAAATAAAAAACAGAAAATGGTAAAAAAATTTAGTGTTTGATGGAATTTTGAAAGTGTAAAAATAAATAACACTATTGTTGTGGCTAAACAAGTGATATTTGTAGAAACATTTTAGGTTAGCAGAAAACGTGAAACGATTGTGGTGTGAGTTACATGTGTTAAGACATAACGTTTGCTAAAAAAAAGCTCATACCTTTATAGTTTTATTACAATGGTGTACATTTAACAAATTTGTTTTGCTTTGTTTCTGCTTTTTTAATTATTTTATAACTATTTTAATTGGGCTTATCTAACTCACGCCAACACGGCAGCTATCGTCATACATTCACAGGCTTTACAATTTTAGTTTTGTATATTTTACAATTTTTTGAGTTTTTTTTAATCTTTTTTTGAGTTTTTTTATTTTAATTTTTTTGTTTTATTTTTTACAATTGTAACACTGTTTTCAAAAAAATTAGCACACAATTTATATATTTCTACTATTTCCGAAAATTATTTCGGCAACTTTAATTACGCAAATTGAAAAAAAAATTTATTAGAATTATGAATGGAAATAGACTTCATGCATTTACTAAATGCGTTAAAACATGTATGTTCTAGAATGAAATATGTATGTAAGTATACCGTCACCTCAAATGCGAAACAGCGTATCATCAAAAACATATCGAAAATCACTGTCAGATATAACAGCCAATATAGAATCATTTTATAACCAAAACTCAAATTCTGTTTCAATATGAGCGTTTGATAACCAATTTATAACCATTTACTAATCGAAACCSAATTTTTGTTTCAATATGCGGCAAAACTAAAATTTTGTTAATATGAGTGTTTGATAACCATTTTGTAACCAATATATAACTATTTCATAACCAAAACTCAAATTTTGTTTCAATATAAGTGGTTTCATATCGTTTTTCCTTCGCCTGTAAAATTTTGAAGAGTGTTGTTATGTTATTTGGCATTTTAGGTGACGATATATATACTATATATTTCACCTAAACATTAATTTTGTGTTTAGATTGAGCTTTACGTTAGTATTTACAAATTGCTCAGCTTAATACTTATCGAATCACTTATATATATATATATATATCTGTCTCTTATACACATCTAGATGTGTATAAGAGACAGATATATATATATATATTTATATATTTATTTACATATATGTATGTCGTTTTGACATTTGTCTATTGATACATTTATTTTAAGCTCAACGTCACTATAGTAAAAAGTAAAATTTTTTTGCATAAAAAAAATATTAAAAATAATTAATGGCGAAGTTTCCACTAGCTAAATTTGATTATTTTGCAAAGATATATATATGTATTTTAATTTTAGTATATATATTTATATAACTGAATTGCTTGATTGATATGATTTTTGTTGTATAACAAATAATAATACATAGCAACACTCAAGAAACACTCTCCTAAATACTTTTAACACTTGCTTTAATAACAAACAGGGTTGCAAATAATGCGTAAAAAATTATTGATTTAAAAATTGAAGACTTTTTTTGTAAAAAAAACTATTTTTAAAATTTTAATAACAAAACACGAAATAAAAATATATTTTTTTATCCCAAGTGCTAAATCGAAAAAAATCTATCCCAAGCATATATTTAAGAATTTGAAAAAGAAACTGTTTTAGAATTAGCAAAATCCTTTCTAATCCAACATTTTTAATTAAAAAATTCGTAACCCTGGGAGCAACAGTTTATTATTTAAGTGCATTTTGTCATTATTTTACAAAGTAGTTCGAATAATGCAGCAATTTTTCAATTATTGAAGATATTAGTTCCAGTRCAGTTTGTTTTCGTTAATAAAGAATTTAAATGCAATACATACTATGAGGAAAATTTGGCACATTTCTTATGTATATGAAATTCAATATTTTCGAAGACAAAATGACGATTGGAAAGGTTACTTTTTTATTTATTTATTTACTGGTTTTATTTTTAATTTTTTTTGTTTTGATATCACTAATACTGTATTTGGAAAACTATCTATTTTTTGCGTATTCATATTTTGAATTTCTAAAAAAATTA